CTCAGGGGCAATGGAGATCTGATTGTACCCTGAGTACCCATCCAAGAAGCGAAAGTGTGACCTCCCTGCCAATCTATCCAGCATTTGATCAATGAAGGGAAGTGGGAAGTGGTCTTTCCTGGTGGCTAGATTCAACTTTCTGTAATCCATGCAAATCTCCAGCCTGTGACGGTTCTTGTTGAGATAAGTTCATTGTTGTCATTCTTCACCACCGTCATGCCACCCTTTTTAGGCACACATTGAACTGCGCTAACCCAGCTACTGTCAGAAATTGGGAAAATGATTCCCGCATCCAACCACTTTATCACTTCCTTCTTCACCACCTCCTTCATATTTGGGTTCAGCCTCCTCTGATGTTCCCTTGAAGGTTTGTGCCCCTCTTCCAGCAGAATCTTATGCATGTAATAGGCGGGGCTGATCCCCTTGATGTCTGCCATGGTCCACCCAATGGCAGTTTTGCACTCCTTTAGTACCTGTATAAGCTGCTGAACCTGCACATCTAACAAACCAGATGAGATAATAACAGGTAATGTGGAGTTGGGACCCAGAAACTCATACCTGAGGTGGGATGGTAATGGCTTTAGTTCCAGCTTAGGTGGTTCTTCAATGGATGGTTTTGCTGGGGGGTCTCTCTGTTTTCTAAGTGTAAAGGCTCAAACTCTAAATTTCTGTCCCAGAACCCTTTACCTTCCAATGCCAACACCCATTCCGCCAAATCCTCACCATTCACTTCATCCAAATTTGTCAAGCATGCAGTAAGGGGATCCTCAACCGTCAACGCCTCATCATCAGACTCTACAATTACATCCACTGCATCAATAAGAGAACAATTTGCGAACTCACTTGGTTGCCTCATCGATTTCTGCACATTGAATATAATTTCTTCATCATTGAGCCTCATCTTGAGCTCCCCAGTCTCGCAATCAATCAAGGCTCTCCCCGTGGCCAAGAATGGTCGTCCTAAGATTATAGGAATTTCTTCATCCATTTTGCAATCCAAGATTACGAAATCTGCAGGGAACACGAATTTCCCTACCTGAATAAGCACATCATCAAGGATCCCAAATGGACACTTCACAGTCCTGTCGGCCAGCTGCAACAACATAGAGGTGGGTCTAGCTCTCCCAATGCCCAACCTCTTATAAATAACCAGGGGAATAAGATTAATGCTGGCCCCTAAATCACAGAGTGCCTTAGCAAAGGCAAAGTTCCCAATAGTGCATGGAATTGTAAAACTACCTGGATCAGATAGCTTTTCAGCAACAGGTCTAGATACCACTGCACTACAGGTCTGAGTAAGTGTCACTTTGGACAAGTCTTGAAAGTCAAACTTCCGAGACATCAAGTCCTTCATCATTTTAGCGTATCCCGGCATCTCCTTTAAAGCTTCAATCAATGGAATGTTTACCTGGATTTGTTTTAGCATCTCCAAGAACTTTTTATACTGCTCCTCCTTTTGATGCTTGGCCAACCTTTGTGGAAATGGTGCAGGAGGTCTTTTCTTCCCAATCACTTGAGATTTCTCTTTCTCAGCCACTGTTTNAATTGCAGTCGATAATCACCTTTAAAATGTAGTCATTGTTGCTCCTTAATAACACCATTCATTAGCTAGAATAATCACCATAAAAAAGAGCAGTAGTTTCCCCAAGCATTGCAGCCACAACTACATAAAATAAAAAATTATCGTCGCAACTGTTAATGAAAAAGAGTGCATAATTGCAGTCATAACTCCAAATACAAAGTGCAGAATTGTAATTATAACTGCTATCGACGGCCCCTTTTTCTCGCGAAATTGGGTTTACGACATTTGGGCGGACAACTCTATTCCTGTTTGGGATTTGGGTTTTTGGATTTGAAGAGTCGCCACCTAATGATTAAGTGCATTAGGACACTAAGGGTTTTTGAGTTGGAAAACCAGAGTTCGGGTAAGGGCTAGAAATTATCTCGAGGGGAAGGTGTTAGGCACCCCTCAAGATCCACTAGTGTGGTTCCCGGCCATGTCATATTGTGACTTTAAATGCAAACAACAAGTAGGCAAACAAATACAAAGGGATTTTTGTTTTCCACCCTGCTGTTGCTGAGGTGGGTGGTACCCTTGCTGCTGATTGTTGTACCCCTGTGGTCTAGGATAAGGTGCCATGTTGTTGGGGGGTCTCATGCCTCCCATGTTTCCGGCGTTATACTGTGTCTGAGGTGGCCTGTACTGCTGCTGAGTCTGCTGACCCCAGTTCTGATTACCTTGCCTCTGACCCCCATAGTTAGCCACATAGTTCATATCTTCAGGGTGCTGATGATGATGATCATGCTCTGTATTCCAAGGATTACCAATTGGCTGGCTAATGCAAGATGTGCATAAGCCCCCATTGGTAGTATCTACTATATGTACCTGCTGCTTCTGCCTTGATTCCTCCACCTCTTTGGTGAGGATGCTCATTTGTGCCAAGAGAGTCGCCATATTTTTAGCCATTGTATTAGAAGGATCAAGAGGCACTGAGTGCACCACTGGAGTGATAGGTGTGTTCCTAGTTGTCCAACCCGAATTCTACGCCATTTTGTCGAGCAAATTCTGACCTTCTCTCCAAGTCTTGCTCAAGAATGCCCCACCAGCAGAGGCATCAACGATATTCTTCATGCTGTCTGATAGTCATGTAAAACCGTTGTCCCAACATCTGTTCTGGAACACCATGGTGGGGACACATAACCAACATTCCCTTAAACCTGCCCCATGTCTCGTGTAGTGTCTCCATTGGTTTCTGTTTGAAACTCACAATCTCATCAATTTGTTGAGCAGTTTTGTTGGGCGGATGGAACTTGTTGTGAAATTGCTTGACTAACTCATCCCAAGTTTCTATAGAGTTTATGGGGAGCGAGTTTAGCCAAACCTGAGCAGCTCCTGTCACCGAGAATGGAAACAATAATAGCCTGATTGCTTCCGGAGTCACGTTGGGTTGCCTTTGAGTTTTGCATATAGACAAGAAGTTCTTCAAGTGTTGCTGAGGATCTTCTGTTTGTGTTCCAGAAAAAAGTCCCTTGTTCTGCAACAAGTGTAGCATGTTATTTGTGATCTGGAACGATTCAGCTTGTATTGCGGGCACAACAATGGCAGTGGCCAGATTGTCAGCTGTGGGTTGTGCCCAGTCATATAGTGCACGCTCAGGCACGGGAGGTGCTAATTGCTCATTCCTGACGTTTCCGTTGGGGTCGTTTATGTCGCCCATGTCAATTTCCAATTTGTGTGTTTGTTGGGGTTGTTGAAGTCTTTTGTTGGCACGATTCAATGCCCGGAATGTTTTCTCGGGGTCTGAGAGTCCTTCAAGTAGTTCTCCAGTCCTCGTAGAATTTCTAGGCATACACCTGTGCACCCAGATCAACAACCGTCAAATTTTCAATGAAAAAGATGGTAGAGAGAAAACTGACTAATCTTTGTATTTCTGTCAATGGAAATTGATAATTCCGTTAACTCCCCCGGCAACGGCGCCAAAATTTGATCACGCCCAACTATGCCTTATAAAAAAGTCTCTGCGGACGTTGCAAATATAACCCGAGTATTACGCCCAGGGTCGAATCCACAGAGAGTTAACCTATCAACCACTATCTTCAGACCCACTAATTCTTCAGAACCAGCTTCCCAAATATTCAAATCTCAGTTGAATGTTCTTTAACAACTACGCTTGCAAGTACTAAATAGCTGTAAACTAAACTAATAAGGTTGTAAACAATTATGATAAAAAGCTAAGGCAATGATTTCCCCTATTGATGGAATCCCTTCTGTTTATGCTCATACAAATTTACCAACACATCTCTCTCAATCATGAACGCTAATCTTACCGTAAATCTCTCCCGAGTAATCACAATAATTTACTATTGCATTCTCCCGAGATACACTAGCTTACTTTATTTAGCACGATTCACTTTAGATTACACCCAAGGCTTCGTTATCCCTAATCCCGCCTTTAAACCCGTAATTATAGATTCCTCTAATAATCTAGGAGTGGTGTTGTTCAACAATACCCTAAATATGCACTCTTTTCCAAGTTATGCACACTAAATAGGCACAGCTAATTGAGGATCCTGTCAATTAACTACAACAAACACAAAGTTGAACAAATAGAGATTAAACTAGCAATTTGTATTCACATAAACAAGAAGTTCATCACCCAATAGGTTCCATCAAAACCTTTGACATGGAATTTAGCTACTCATGGCTATGGGAAAATAAGCTAAGATTGAATTCATCATAAAAATCAAAAGTAAAGAAGAAAGATGTTTGGAGTATTCTCTCACAATGGTTTTCCTTGCTAAGAAATCTTAAAAATCAACACATGCCTCTCTTGGGCGAAGTCTAATGTTTTAAATAGGGTTTAGGTCTAAAAATCCCGTGTTTTACACTTTAGTCCCTGAAGTTTTCTGCGTCCGCCGCGGTTCTGCCGCGGTCGCGGTCAAACCGCGGCCAAAAGCCTTCTCTGAATCTGAATTTATCCGCAGCTATCTTCCACCGCGATTCTACCGCGGTCGCGGTGGAACCGCGGTCAAACCAGTTCTCTGAATCTTCAGGCCTGTTTTGCGTGGTGTACTTGGGGAATTTCACAGTTGGCCTCTTTTTCTTCAATTTTGACTCCAAAACTGCTCCTTAGCCTTCCTTATACATATATCACCTGCCAATCATGAAAAGCACTAATAAGAGCATTTTATTATCACTTTTAGCATTAAAACTACACAAGAAGGTGATTATTTAAGGTGTGATTATAGTCAAATTCACCTATTATCATTAGTCTATATATACACATAGTCAATAGAAGCGGATGTAATATATAACCAACGGGTTCAACTGAAAGCAGTATTTTTGCAAGTATAGATAATATGTAAAAAATCACAAAAATTTCAACATGAAGGTTAAATTCATCAAATTTATATCTTCGACTCGTCTTTACATAATGATCAAATGAATCATACCACTTTACTTTTAATGACACAGCTTAGAGATTTGGTCTTACGAAATAATGGTTCTGTTATCTGGACTTCTTCCAAATCCAAAGTTAGAGAGCTCAGTTCTTTCTATCAGGTTAGACTTCTCAAACATGCTAATATTAACCTGAATATCGTGTTTCATTAAAAAGTTGATACATGTTGAAATATTTTGAAATATTTCAGCCTTAATACTTGTTGGATGGTGTATATGATACCTCTAGGACTAAGTGGCGCGACGAGGTGAATTTCTAACATCTTTAAACCCCCTTTAATCAGTTACATTTTCCTTTATATATTCTTCTTCACTAGTTTCTATATGTTGTGTTTTTCCTCAGTGTAAGAGTTTCGAATGAATTAGGTGTTGGACGACCTCAAGCAGCTCGTTTAGCAGCTTGTACAGCAGTATTCTTGGTGGCTACAGAAGGCATTGTTGCAGCCATAATTTTGATTTCGGTTCGTAAACTGTGGGGCTATTGTTATAGCACTGAGGAAGAAGTAGTGGGATATGTAGCAGAAATGCTAGTCTTGATAGCAGGATCCCATTTTTTAGATGGTATTCAATCTGTACTTTCAGGTTTGTCCAAATTTATAATACACAAAATTCCCATTGCTATGTTTCAAGAATCTGAACTATGTTTCTTGGTTTGTTAAAGCAAGGCTTTAGGCTATATCAGAACATTAGCCAAATCGAAATTGAGAAGCAATATTTTAATTATTCGGCTTAGACATAAGAGGCGGATCCATAATTTAAATTTGATGGATTCAACCTTTATGTTCTTACCGTCAAACCTATTATACTTTTGAGGTTATGCTTAATTATCTTCTGAAATTTGGGTGATTTTTCACATGTGGATCTATTACGTATTGAAAATGCTGAGTTCAGTTGAACCCGTCAACTATATGCTATATCTGCCTATTATATGCTACATCCGCCTCTGTTTGACATTTAAACAATGTTGATAGGGTGAATCCAGAGCTAGCATAGAAGAAAATGCAAAATGACATTTGACATGTAGAGAAAGAGTTTAACATCCAAACAATATGGCAAGATGCACACAAGTTCATCTAACTTTTCTTGATATAATCCATCACACTAGATACAAATCTAAAAGAATTCTCTTTTCCTTTTGATATTTGAAGCTTATGTAATTTCTTGAATTCACTGTTCAATCATGTCATCAACCATACTAGTCTTCAATAATTTATGTGTTAAGAACATGAACTTGGGATAAACTCAAAATTAACCAATGAGATAAGGATTTGCCAAGAGTACGGAAAATAATGCAAAAAACAACTTCGACTAGTTTTGAACAAACTATGATCTTCGCTTTGTTCATCATCTCATCGTGCTCCACTAATAGTTCTTTGATTTGACAACGATGATTTGGTTCGCTCCCTCAAGTATTATTTATCTGCTATGGACTAGAGAGGGATACCTAAAATGACTAATGCTTTCCAATTTATGCTCAACGGCTCCATCTTTATTTTTTATTATTGAAAATTTATATTCTCTCCTTCGAAACACTATAATTTGAAAATAATTTAGCATAAACACCTATTAGAAAATTTTGAGGTCCCCAAAATTATGGGGCCTAAAGCACTTGGTCGGCCCTGATATTTACTCTTATTTAAGTTCTTTGCATATCATTTATGCTAGAATTTGTTTGCTCCTTGTAGTTTAAATAGAACTGGAAAGTCTGGATCGAGTATTTATTATTTTATTATATTGTTATGCATTTATAGTGCCTTGTTCTTTTGAACCTAGTGGTATCAGAGCCTATAGTTTTATTTATTGGTAAATTATCTATTTGAATGATTGAGACAAATATGAACAAAATAGCATCTTTAAATAAAGTAATTATCAACCCATATGAAATATGTGCAACAATCAAGCAGGAAGTTAAAGAACTACTCCAGTGTGATTACTATTTCTACTCGAATATTTTTATATTTAATTAAACAAGAGACAACAAATTTATGTAAGTCAAAACATCATATCAATATTTTTTAGTATTAAATCTAAGACCATTGAATAGATTAAGACACATGACATTATATAACTCACGAATGAGGAAAAGAAAAATGAGAGGAAAGAAAAATGAGAAGAGATACAATTAAAATCTAAGCCACCAACAAATTGTAATCAATGGTTAATCCTAATATTCACTTTAATTTTTACTTATTATTACGTTCTCTAAATAGTTGATGAATTTAAGGATAAATAATTGTGTATTATTTATCAGAGAAGTAGAGAAAGAGGTTCCGCCTCTATACATATAATAAAAATAAAGACGTATCTATCACATATCAATAGTTGCGTTAAGTTGTTAAACAAGAATTAACCGAAATAACAGCCCACCTAATCTGTTAAACTAACAATAGCCGGCTTTTATATATATATATATATATATATATATATATATATATTATTATTATATATATATTATATATATATATATATATATTATGTATAATCCATGTATACTGTTGTGATGAACCAAAAGGTCATCTTCTGTTTTAGAACCCGATTCCGTGTTCTGAGGTCTTAAAAACCTCATTTTATCTCTTCTCGATTTGCATGCGCAGTCCGGGCGTGTATCCGAAAATCCCTTATGTGAAAAATTTAAGAAATGATGATTTTTGGCCTAAAAAGTTGATTTTTTTATAGACTTCGGTCAATATTTTGGGTAAATAGACCCGGACCCGTGTTCCGACGGTCCCGGAGGGTCCGTAATAAAATAAGGGACCTGGGCGTATGCCCGGAACAGAATTCCGAGGTCCCTAGCCCGAGAAATGAATTTTTGAAGGAAATTGATAAGACTGAAAATCTAACAATTTAAAAGATTTGATCTTGTTGGTATCGGGCCCGTATTTTGGTTCCGGAGCCGGTACAAGTCCGTTATGATATTTAAACCTTATTTGTGAAATTTGGTGAAAAACGAAAACGATTTGACGTGATTCGGACCTTTGGTGGAGAAAATAGAAATTTTGAAACTATCTTGAAAATTTCATGCAATTTGGTGCTAAATTCATAATTCTAGGTGTTATTTTGGCGATTTGATCGCATGAGCAAGTTCGTATGATGTTTTAAGACTTGTGTATATGTTTGGTTTGGAGCCCCGAGGGCTCGGGTAAGTTTTGGATAGGCTACAGTGTGATTTTGGAACTTCGAAATTTGCTGTTGTAACTGGTATCTGTAGCAAGCCTCTGATCTCGCAATTGCGAGATCAGGCTTCGCAAATGCGAGTCAAGCAGGCATAGCAATTGCGAGGTGTTTTATTGCAATTGCGAAGAAATCCTGGGCCAGCACAGTTCGCAAATGCGAACAAATCTTTGCAATTGCGAAGGGAGTCTGGGAAGGGGTATGATCGCAAATACGATCTTCTACTCGCATTTGCGAGGAACAGTGTTCGCAAATGCGACACTTTCTTCGCATTTGCGAAGGCAGCAGGACTGTGAAGAGATTCGCATTTGCGAAGCTCAGGTAAATTGGACATATGTAGTTGAGTAAAAGGGTCTTAGACGGGATTTTTCATTTATTCTCCCATTTTTCAAAACCTAAACTTCAATAGGTGATTTTCCTATAGCAAGTTCATCCCCAAATCATAGGTAAATGATTCTTAACTCATTTCTATCAATCTATCTCATCTTTTTGCAAAATTTCATCCTAGAATCTTGGGTTTTTCATGGTGGAATTGAGTGTTTTTGGGTAGAACTTAGGAATTTCGAAATTTGGGGATTTAGACCTCGAATTGAGGTCGGATTCCAAAACCAATTGTATATCCGGGCTCGGAGGTGAATGGGTAATCGGATTTTGGTCCGAATTTCGAGTTTTGACCAAGCGGGCCCGGGGTTGGTTTTTGACTTTTTGGGGAAAATATTGGAAAACCTATAATTATGCATTGGAATTGATTTCTTTAACGGTAATTAATGTTATTAAGTTGATTATGACTAGATACGAGTGGATTGGAGGTGGAATCGAGAGGTAAAGCGGTATTTGAGCTTTGAAATACCCGTTGGCTTGAGGTAAGTGTTTGGTCTAACCTTGACTTGAGGGATTAGAGATCCCCGACTTAATTGCTATGTGAAATTCCATGTGTGTGGCGTATAGGTGTGGTGACTAGTACCTATGCGCCGCCAAATAGCCCGCTCCCTTCCCTGTTTCCTAATATATTGTTTCATGTCTTAACTGCTACTTGCTTATTGATTCTTCCATGTCTAATTGCTTCTTGTTAAATGTGATTTTCTCTATCGAAGGTGTTAATTGTTTCGTAGTTTCATTATATTACATTGCCAGTTGGAGTTGGTTTGTTGGTGCTTCATGGTACACTTTAGCTGGTCTCGCTGTGTAGAATAAACTGTTGAAGTTTCATAATTGTATAGATCTTCCGTTGTTTTGACTTGAGATACAAATGTTGTGGAGGGTTTGAGTTAATTTGTGAAATACTTGTCTTATTTTGTGATTAGTACTGATATGGTGGGATCGGGTTGTACGCCGCAATAGGAGGAATAAGGGTGAAATGTGATCTGGTGGGATCGGGTTGCGCGCCATAACAAGGAGTAATAAGGGTGGACATGTGGGATCGGTTTGCACGCCGCAATATGAGGAATAAGGGTGATAAAGTGAGGAGTAATAAGGGTGGACTGGTGGGATCGGGTTGCACGCCGCAACAAGGAGTAATAAGGGTGAATGTTCATACTGTTGTTGATTATATGGTGGGATTGGGATGCGCGCCGCATCATTTGTTGTTTATGTATTCTTCTTCTGCTAAGATTCATTATTGTGGTGTTGAAACTCTCTTAAGGATTGGTTATAGCTGAGTATTGGTAGAACGACTAGGTTCCGCATTTATTACTGTCCTATTTCATTCCGTATCTTCTTTTTGCCTTATTATAAACTGTTGCAGGTTATATTGTATAAGTTACTGTCATATTTATATTGTCACTACTTCGTCGAGGTTAGGCTCGGCACTTACCAGTACATGGGGTCCGTTGTACTGATACTGCAATTTGCACTTCCTGCGCAGATTTCGGAGCTGGTAATGGCTGATCGAGAGGTCGGTTGCTGACACTTCATTCAGGAGACCCAAGGTAGTCCTGCAGGCGTCCGCAGGCCTTGGTGTCCCCTCCTACATTTTGTATCTCTATTTTATTTACTTTCGAGACAAATGTGTTTTTCTTTCAGACCAGTATTTGTAGTTATCTCTAGAAAGTTCGTGAGTTGTGACACTAGTTTCTGGGTGGTAACTGTTCGGTTTTGTTAATAGTATAAGGATAATCATTTAAATATGTACTTCCGCTTTTATTTTTGTTTGAATTAGCTTTTGTTATCTTAACTATGAAAATGTAAAAGAAAAAGGTGATTATAACTCTAATGTTGGCTTGCCTGGCGAGTGCGATGTTAGGCGTCATCACGGTCCCGTCGGTGGGAAATTCGAGTCCTGACAACTGGTTACAAAAAAATATATATATTAAATCTGGCCAGTTATTTGTGTAATAATCCCGCCACAATTAGTCCACATACAATAATTGTCCATGCCTTTAAATTAGGTCTAGCCACTATCTTTTCTAGGTAAAACTTATGTAAAACAAATCAATATAAAGTCTAAATTTATGGCATTTTTGGCCAAGCATATTTGACTCTACTTTAAGCTATGTTTTTATTGATTCATATGACAAACGTTCAAGTTTAAATAAGAATATGTCTCAAAAGTAAAACAAATTCTTCATTGGTTTACTTTTTCGCTCATACTTTCTATTATGGCGACATCATGTATTAGTAATTGAGTTCTAAATTTAATTTTTTAGAATATATTTAGTAAATTTCTTAATTTTATATACTAAAACTACTGAATTATTTCTGAATCCATAAATAAGAATATGTCTCAAAAGTAAAATAAATTCTTCATTGGTTTACTTTTTCGCTCATACTTTCTATTATGGCGACATCATGTATTAGTAATTGAGTTCTAAATTTAATTTTTTAGAATATATTTAGTAAATTTCTTAATTTTATATACTAAAACTACTGAATTATTTCCGAATCTATATATGAGCTTCTAGCTCCGCCTCTGCTATCTATATGGTGTCATATCGTAGAAATATAAAAAAAAGGCAGCCCGGTGTATTAAGCTCCCGTTATGTGCGGGGTCCGGGGAAGGACAGGACTGCAAGTATCTATTGTACGCAACGTTACCATACATTTCTGCAAGAGGTTATTTTCACGGCTCAGAACCCGCGACCTCTTGGTTATATGACAACAACTTTACCAATTACATCAAGGTTTCCCTTGGTACCATAGAAGTACAATGACTTAATTTGATATTCCTGAGCAAAAAGACGAAAAGAAAATTAAATTATGTAATAGAAGTCAATCTTGGAAAGTGGTAAAAGCAGCAAGTTGTTCGGACTTGGTCTCGTGTCTTATTGTCGTTTTTAAACAAATCCTACCACATTACTAATCCGGATTTAACTTGTCAATATAAGAAAAGTACATTAATAATGTATTTTAATCTGTTATATTAGATTAGTTGTGTTATTTTTAGCTTATTAATTATGGGTTATACGTGATTTGAAAGTGTAAAAATTTCTCTTTTATAAGATAGTTTAACTTCTATACATGTTTTCAAGATCAGGTCTAACGAAACTAGTAAGCTAAAAAATAAGGCTGGATAAGCTTTTTAAGGCTGCAGCTTGGGTTGTTTCAAACTTCATTTTCCGATATTGATATTATACTTGTCGTTTGCTGGTTTCGTGGTTTCTTTTGATGGTACTGATATATTGTCTGCCGAGGGTCTTTCGGAAACAGCCTCTCTACCCCTTCGGGTAGGGGTAAGGCATGCGAAAACACTACCCTCCTCAGACCCCACTAGTAGAATTTCACTGGGTCGTTGTTGTTGTTGATATTATACTGGTCGTTTGGTTGGGAAGTTATCTCACCGTTGTATTGTCTGTTAATTATCTCGGGATTAGTTATTTCGGGATTGGTATCCCACCCTCGGATAAAAATAACACTACAATCCCAGGATAACAACCGCGATTTTATCTCAACCAAACGAGACTGAGTACCATTATTAGGCAAGGTTGAGACTTGAGAGAGGAAAATGGATATACAAGAGAGGGAACTAGATCTTGAGTGTCCATTGATTACAGAATCTAAGAACAGAAGAAATGAGATTTTGGTAGAAGTGAAGAAGCTGTTGGTATTAGCAGGGCCTCTTATGTCAGTGAACTTTCTATTATACTGTTTACAGGTTATATCTGTAATGTTTGTTGGTCATCTTGGAGAGTTAGTGTAAGCGCTACTGTGTTAAAACACAAATTCAGAAAAAAATTGTTAGAAAAATAAAAGAAACTGGAAAAACAGAAGAGTTTAAGAAATATTCCGAGTCCACAATTTGCTTGTGTATCCTTAAAGAATTTTAACCCCCTCACACGTAGCCAAGGTAATGGATTAAATCCTCCCAGGATAAAACGGAATAAACCTTCCTGCAACAGTGGCAATACAAACTGCACGATACAACAAACTTAAATAACGGAGCAAAATCACACTTACGAATTTGAGAGAGAGAGACTGCGAATTAGAATGCAGTATATTCAGAAAGAAAGAAGTTCTGGAGTGTTTTTCGTGTGTAGAAAATGGAGCCTTGCCTCAGAATTTATAGGCAATTATCAGAAAAGGTGTCTGGAAAAGGTGACTTTTCAGAAGAATACGCTGCCTGCCGCGGTTCTACCGCGGTCGCGGCAGAACCGCGGTCAGAGAGGCTTTCTGTACCTGCCTGCCGCGGTCGCGGCAGAACCGCGGCCAGAGAGGCCCTTTGAACCTTCAGCAAGGTTCTGGCGTATTTTCAGCAGTGATTTGGCATATAATTAATTATTAAATAATTAAATAAATTTTGTCCAAAAATAATCTTATCGAATCTTATCGATCGATCATTTTCCAAATCCAAAGCCAAAGCCGAGCCGAGCGAGCGACGACGACGGCGCGAGGGTTCATTCTCTTCAACTCCTTTTAAGAGCTTTAAGAAGTGATTCTATATATAAGCACACAAATGTGGTTGTCCCTCACCAATGAGGGACAAAGTGCAAGACAAAAGTTCACTTCTTCAAATTTTCAATTTCCCTCCATTTCCAATTCACACTTCTTCTACTTTAAAGCCCAATGGCTTAAAGTCTAACAATCCCCCACATGAATGGGAATGGCTGTATCAAGAAAGAT